CTTACATAAAACAAAACCTATTTAGTAGAAGTTTCAAAAAGGATGCAAAAAGCACCATTTAAGTATAATACAAGTGATCAAGATGATTTGAGAACTATATTATGTTAATATATTTGACGTTAATTAGATATTTAATAGTTTTTTGTGTGAAGAACAGACTAAAATCTTAAATCACTGCAGTCACAATATCAGCAAAAGTTTGCAGGCAAAAAAACAAGGTGCATTGTCTACAGCCACTTTCGGTTTTCTACTTTGCAAATCATTGAAAAACAGTAAAAAATACAGTATAACCCAAAGTGTACTTAGATTTTTATGTGTATGTTAGGTCTGCGCACATTGTAAATGATGCAGATATTTAAAACATAAAACTATAATTAAAAGTTTTTTTGTGCTACATTTGTCCACAAGGTGTCAACACTGAACCAGATACATCCATTTTTTAGTAGACTGCTTTTCCTATGAATTATTTGTTTTGATTCACACAATCAAATAGAGTTAAATAAGTCAAATGAGTTAAAAGCTTACCATTTAGATCAGTGTTTCTCCACCACGTTCCGGGAGGACCACCAGCTCTGCACATTTTCTATGTCTCCTTAACCAAACACACCTGATTCAGATCATTAGCCCATTAGCAGAGACTGAAAGATCTGTAATGGTTTTGACAGACAAAGGAGACATCTAAAACATGCAGGGTTGGTGGTCCTCCAGGAACGTGGTTGAGAAACACTGATTTAGATAACATTAATTTGGGGATTGGTCTGAATATGGCTATTATATGACTCTTGAGAATTGGAATATAATGTAATATACAAGTTATATTAATGTCTTTGACAATCAGGAAAGAAATACAACATTAAACCACTGTAGACGCCCATGTTTATAAGGCAAGGCATCTTTTGGAAAGAAAAAGCAGACACTGAAGGAGAATGACTTTTTTTAGTGTGCACCTGTAAAGTGTCTACAGCAGTGTTTCTCAACTACCTTCCTGGAGGACCTCCAACGCTGCATGTTTTGGATGTCTCCCTTGTTACTCTGCTTAAGGAAACATGGGCTGTTTCTCAATTCCTAGAATGCAGAGAGACTTGCGTTCTTATGAAGACCAGTCTTGCCAGGTCACCTCGGAAGAACGAGAACGACCGTAGAAACACAGAACACATCCTGTGAGAAATAAGATGCTGTGTTCTTTCTTGATGGTCACAAGACCTTCACAAATTTTTAACGGAAATTTTTGCTTAGTGTCTTAGACGAAAATGAAGAGCGGGGGTGGGGTGTCTCCATGCCATTTCATGGTATCGTTTACTTTTTTAATCTTAAAAGTTTTATCTCTGAACATTTAAGAGACTGAAGAAATCTATATAAAATTCTGCACTTCCCACCTTCTTTATTCATCCACAACGAATTCTGGGACTTCTAGAGGGAGTTCGCGTGCTCAAGTCAGCATTGGTGCACTGGTGCATTCTCGATACCAAGAACACATCAGGGAACTTTCTCGCGTCCTGCATTCTTGCAGTCTGAGTTTTGGAACTGAACTTTCATGGTTGATAAACATGTTACATGAAAACACAAGCACACAAGTTCACTGAAAAACACATATTGAGAAACAGCCCGTGACTTTCATCAGCTAATGAGCTGATGATCTGAATTAGGTGTGTTTGGTTAAGGAGACAAGCAAAATGTGCAGAGCTGGTGGTTCTCCGAGGAATGTGGTTGAGAGACACTGGTCTACAATATGCTTACAAATAGATTACACTTTAAAAAGGCTGTGCAAGCATGCTTCCATTCACATAAGAAGTATACTTTGGGCTAAACAGCTTAACTTCACAATTCTTCTCGAAGAAGGAAGGTCATACAGTATTGGAATGACATGAGGAGGTGTGTTTAGGTGAACTATCCCTTTAAGGTGAAATAGCATTAGGACCACAGTCCTTCATTTTTCTGGCTCAGCCTTTTCCCCTCTAAAACCTGAGAGAGTTTGTGAGGGCTAGGGACAAGCCAGGGTCCCGGGGCTTTTGTTGAAGATCCGGAAGCCTCTGAAGGGCTGAAGGGATCCGGGGGCCACTGAGTCCCCAAAAATGCGATGCTGGCTGCAGACACACTGACTTCAGAGAAGCTGTGAGCCGATTCTGCGCCTGACCCATCATCGTCATTGTCCAAAGGCATGAGGAAGGAGAAAGGTGCGCGTTGTGTGACCTCGGTTGTGCTGGATCTGTTCTTATCCCTCTTTTCTCTTCCTCCCTCCTTTTCTCCATTCACTGGGAGGCTGTTCTCCCTCTGTGACCTAACATCTTTTGCTTTTTGTCTTCTCTCCCCCATGCTTTTGCTTTTTTGCCTTCCTCTTTGCCGCTCCCCCTCTCCCTTCCTTTCCCCCTGTTTTCCATCTCCCTTCTCCTCTTCTTCATCTTCTTCTCTCCGTGACCCTTCTTGGCCTCTCAGTGTACCAGGTAAACTCCGTGAACGCATCTGTTGCTCTTTCCTTCTCCTCGTGGACCGGGAGCTACCAACTGTGCTGACGTCCTCTGCCCAGCCATGCTTGCCCTCGTCTGCTCCACTTCCTCTACTCGTTCTACCCTTCCCCCTCCTCTCTCTTCTCTCTCGTCCACTGTCATCCACCCATCTGCTGCTCCTCAGAGGAGTGTGATCTACTGCAGCCACCAGCGGCTCCTCGGAGAAGACGGAGGAGGGGGAAGCGGCTCCGGCTTCATGGTCTAAGATAAAGAAAAATTCAGAGATGGTTGAATGATAAATGCATTCATGTCAATTTACAAAAAAGATAAGTATTAAGACCCCAGTATACTTCAGATGATGTTTTAGTTCTTTTTTTGAGGGCAAAAAGAAGTTCAAAAAGGCTGCAGGACGGTATACTGTTTTGAAATACTCTACACCTTGCTCATTATTCGAGCAAATTCGTTCCCACAGGTTGAAAAGAAATTTAAAGCTACGTCACGGTGATTAGATCCATTTGTAAATTCCAGCATGGAGATTGGATGTCTGTATTGACCGGTACAACGTGACGTCTTGGAGTTTTCATGATTAATACGTGAGAAAGACTTGGTTCGAGACAATCAGCGCACTCTATTGTGAATGAGGTGCAACTTCATTAATATGCATGATAGCTTCGAAGACTCTTTTTACCAGTTACAGTGTTCAGACAGCAGAGAGACGCCATGGTGTGCTGCCAACCATTATTAAAACAAGTTGAAGAAGATGAATTGTTCGGAGACATGGGTCATCACTGTTGCATTTATAAATGTGGCAGGATAGTCTATACACACACGGCTGTTTGACACTATTCTCTGCACCTACCAAGTCTCTACATGTAAATTACCAAGAAATGTAGAGTTTTTTTTCCTCCCAAACGGCGTGTGGTATCAAAATTTCCATTAAAATAACACTCTTCCAGCAGTTCCTCACATCCAATATCTTGTTTGTCACAGGCGACATGCATGAAATGTATCTGAGTGAAAGTGTAAGTGCCAAACTTTGGTTAAAGTCGACAAATTAAGAATGAAACATCCGAAATTACATGAAACTCTGGTGGAAATGTGAATAGCATGGTGACGGGATGACGTTAATTATGTGCTATAACATATAAAACGGGATCATGAAAGAAACATCCAAAAAGCAACTCATGTAAACACGCTAATCCTATTATTGTCTTATTCAGATTAAGGCAAATAATTTGATTACTGGTGTCCATGTAAGACTATAGTCACTGTCTATCTCCCCTGCATCTGTGCTTGGGTTGCCGCTGTGAAAATCAGCTGTAGTGCACGTACTGAAACTCCCCTTTTCATGCAAACCCTTCCCTCTTTCGCCACTCAACACTTTCACCTAAACAAAGCAGGACTCACCCACTCCTGACTTTTTTCAAATAAAAGGTGGGAAAACACCCTGCTGAGATGGAAACAACAGTTTCATAAACATCTGGCAAACAGCATTCTACACAAGAAACGTTTTCTTTTTGTAGCAGACAGACACAGAACGGCACTGCCAGTGTGCACAAACAAGCAGCGCAGTGATGTTGGCTTCTTGCCTGGTGTGTGACCTCCTCTGAGTCTTTAAAATGTCTCTGCAAGCGATCATACTGGTTTGAATACATCTGTCAAATGGCCAAAACAAAGTTCTTTTAAACCGAATTTTGTTTGAAATTATGTCATTTCAGTTACTTCTTTGATTTTATTTGAAGTATACTTGTGCCTTTAGATAATGGTGGAGTAAATGGATGAATGAGAGTTATATGACGCAGCAGTGACTGTAATCTCAGCCGGGTTATATGCGTTTGCTGCTTTTCTAAATTCTTGAGTAATCTATATTATGTCAGTGAAACACAGGAATAAGATTTTGGTCTCATTTAAATAAAAAAACAACATTATTATGGCATGGATCTGTGAAGAACGTGAAGACAATCAACTGGAAGGGTTACCAACCGTGTGTTTTCTGTCCGTCCGATGACATAAAAGCAAGGCTCGCCCTGCTTGGAGTTAGTCATACAAAGAGATAAGCTGGAAAGCTCCACTGGAGGAGAGTTCAAGAGAGGGAGAAAGAGTAAAGTATGAAGCAATGAATTAAAGAAAGTAGTAAATAAGGAGAAAATAGTTCAGAAGTTCAGAAAAGGAGAGAAACTTTAATCCAAATCATGGTCAGCACTAGATCATGGGCATCTGGGGCTGTTAAGGGCAAAATTTTCTTTCACAAAGTATTCATGGAAAGATGTGCACTTTAAAATATATCTATTAATTAACAGTTTTCATATTTTGAAAATTTAGACGTGTTTTCCATTTATTTACTGTTGTGAATTGCATTATGATCTCTGCTCTGTCAACTTTTCATGTTGAATATTCAACTTTACAGTTTAACAATAATAATATAATGTATAAGAAATAAAATATTGAGAAATAAGTCTGTAAAATAACAAAAAAATTACTGAGGGCTGCTTATTACAAGGTTTTTGTAATGTAATATACACCCAACACAGACAAAAAACTAATGAAAATGTTAATAAAAGTCACTTTTTTGAACTTTTAAAGGTTAAAAGTTGTTAGAAGAAAGATTAAGCTCCCATAACGCAATTCAAAAGTGTAAATAAATCAGGAAAAATAAAAACATGAATCGCAAAATATATAAAATTGCTAATTTACGGATATTTTTACAGTGTAGCATATAAGCTCCAAATGTCCGTTTACCCTCCCATGACCCCGACTAGAAGAATCTGATCTGCATGTAAACATGTGAAAGTGCTGTTAGGCTATTTTACAAATTACAAATTTTTAGGACAACTAACACATTAGGTTTACATTCAGAGATTTCAGATATGGAAAAAAACACTTTTGTTTTCTCTTAACGTAGCATTGCAACATCACTTATTTTCTCACCATGTCTTTAATGGTTCATTCAAAAACCCTCTCACTCTGAAACCTGTATTTCAAAGAGCCTACACTGCTCTGAATGGTCAGATTACCCAAAAACGTAAAGCTGATGACCATATCTGAACTTCAGCTTTGGTGGAATGTTCAGTATTTCTACACACAGTGATATGGCCCCAAATCTTCGTCCTTTCAAAAACAGATTGTCATTTTTTAGTGCAGAACATCCCTAAATTAAACTCTTCCGGGCCTCAACTACAACTAGAGTACTTAAGGCCTGGTCAAAATCAGGGGCGCCCCCAAGGGGTGTCCAGGAGTGGCCGTGGCCACCCCATTGTAAACTCTGGCCATTTCTGTGGCCACCCCAATATGATTTTGCTGTTGATATTATTAATTTAAATGTACTTGCATAAATTCACAATATTTCAATAAATAAATAGCAGCCACTAAATTGCTGTGGATTGATTGGTGCCACTGCTGTAGCTGTTTCACTGCCCCTCCCCGATCGTCGTTGACAGCACGCACACACCTTCGATAGACAGCAATGGCAGTTTAATATTTACCTTAAGATACATTAATAAAAGAAGTTGTATTATTATTTTTGGCTCAAAAAGGAATAGGGCTAGATGATACTATTAGAGTATGGTGAGTGTGTATGTAGATAGTAATGCCTTTGGTCATTTGTTTTATTAATTAATTAATTAATCTTCATAAATTTTAGACATGGCATATACCGTATGCTATACAATAAAAGTAGGTGAAAAATAACTGAAAAGTTATTTATATTTATGAAAAGTGTTTTTAAACTAAAAATTGATTTTTATTTTATTGAATTTTAATATATTGATTTTTTAGGAATAAATTGCAATATTTCAAAAGTAACTACTTACATAAATTAAAAGCACATTGTTTCATTTACCAGAAACAAAAATATAACATTACACTGTATACATAAAATTTTTTATGTGTGCCACCCCAAGATTTGATGCAGCTTATTCTGGCCACCCCTAAGAACATTTTCTGGAGTCGCCACTGATCAAAAGAGATCATATTTTGTCATTATGCAAATTTGCTACCAATGTATGTAGGTTTATGTAAGAAACTCAAAAAGGAGGTTATCAGAGGAAGCAGAACTTTAGTTTGCCCTCACCATAATCCGGTACGTATCCGTTGCCTTTCTTCAGTACGAGGTGTATCCGTGCTCCTCCCTTTCGGATCTGCTCAACGGCCTGGCTGTGTGTCATGCCGACTGTGCTGTCTCCATTAATCTCCACCAGCTGATCACTCACCTGCAGCATGAGTCAGCAAAAGCTTCAGTGAATCAGCGTAATGTCAACAACAGCACCTAATCCCAGCATGCCTCAGCATAATCTTCACAACATGACTCAGTACTGCTCCTAGTGTTTTGAGTCAGAGCTTCAAACATCCCTGACAGCGCTGGGTTGTTTACCGGTATATGTGTGCATAAGCACATGTGTGATATTTGTATGTATACTATGCACTAACCTGTATTTTCTGACTGCGTGAGGCCGGGCCGCCCTCCATCAGACCAAGCACATACAGACCCATGTTATACTCACTTCCACCTCGCAAACTAAAACCAAATCCTGTTGGTCCCCTCTCAAGATCAACATTATAAAACTGGGAATCCTGATGAGAGAGAGAGAGAGAGAGAGAGAGAGAATTTTCATAAGCAGCCTTGTGTTGTATAGGATGTGAGATGTAAATTAAATACTTTGAAAAGTTTTACATAACATAACACCTTATGGATATTAAATATTTTGATGTTTTATATGCTATATTGCACTAAAGTATGTGTAGAATGCATAATATAACCCATTTCAAAAGAGAAAAGGAGGAAAATGTTTTTAAAATGATACATTTCAGTCACACTTTCCCTTTATTTTCAACAGAATCTATACTAAAATCTTGAGTCTGGTGATAGGTAGTCTCACCTTTTGCTTGGCCCGATGCCCTTTCCTCAACCGGCTCTCAGCATCAAAGTCAGGGTATTCAGGCAGATTATTGTCTAACAAAAAAATAGACACACTCATGAGTTTAGACACACAATGTAATAGCGCTTATTTAGGGTCTATACACCAGTACCCTCTTGTGGCCAATGTTAAAATTTCTCCTCAATGTCTAACAGAAAATACATTCATTCATTCATTTTCTTTTCGGCTTAGTCCCTTTATTAATCTGGGGTTACCACCGCGGAATGAACCGCCGACTTATTTAGCATATGTTTTACACAGCGGATGTCCTTCCAGCTGCATATTTTGCATATTTATTCTGCATATTTTTGTAAAAATTGTATGTAATAAAACTGTAATAGATTGTTTAATATGAAATGATGTTTTAACTTTTTTAAATAATGTTAATGATAAATTGTTAATGAATTAATTGTAAATATTTTTTCTGTTTAGGTACTTTCCGAAATAAAATTATTACAAAATTGTGAGACACTACCTGACAAAAGTCTTGTCGCTTATTTAAGCTTTTGGAACAACAAATAATACCTTGATTTCTAGTTGGTCATTTGGTATCAGAAGTGGCTTATATGAAAGGTAAAGGCCTCTAGATTACGCTTATTTTACCAAAATAAAATGTGATCATGCCTTGATTTAGCTATTTAATAAAGACAGTAAGGTCTGACCTTGCTTAGACTTAAGTCTTGTCACATAACAGAAATAATGTACAGTATAGAATATAAAGTGATGGTGCAGTGGAAAAATAATTCATATCATGTATGACTCCCATGAGCTTAGAAGTCTGCATCCACACATCTCTGCAAAGACTTATTATTAAAACGTATTAATAAAGTCATCTGGAATGGCAAAGAAAGCGTTCTCACAGGACTCCCAGACTTCATCAAGATTCTTTGGATTCATCTTCAATGCCTCCTCCATCAATATTGTTCATCTCTGGTGACTGGGCTGGCCTATTCTGGAGCACCTTGACCTACTTTGCTTTCAGAGACTTTGATTTGGAGGCTGGTGTATGAGAATGAGTGCTATCCTGCTAAAGAATTTGCCCTCTCTTGTGGTTTGTAATTTAATGTGCAGCACAAATGTCTTGATACCTCGGGCTGTTGATGTTGCCATCCACTCCGCAGATCTCTCGCACACCCTCATATTGAATGTAACCCCAAACCATCTTATTTTCTTCACCAAACTTGACTGATTTCTATGAGAATCTTGGGTCCATGCGGGTTCCAAAAGGTCTTCTGCAGTATTTGTGATGATTGGGATGCAGTTCAACAGATCTCAACAGAAAAAATCTAACTTCTGCCACTTTTCCAAATTATCAATTAAAGGTCAAGTTATTATTTGTTGCTCTTACAACTGGGATCAGCGACAAAACTTTTGTCAGGTAATGTACACAAAAACAAACGCGCATGCAAATAGACTAACCATTTAAATGTACTGTTAAAAGAACCAAAGACTAAACAGATCAAAATAATCCTGAAAAATGTACAACAAGCATTCTAAGCAACACAACTGCTTACACATTGAAAATAATAGAAATTGTTTCTTGACCACCATTTATGCATATAAAAATGATTTTTTAAGGTAACCTGTGACAGTGGAAACTGGATAAATGTTTGCTGAAAATTCAGTTTTCGGTCACAGGAATAAAAGTTTACGAAAAAAGAAAACAGTTATATTAAATTAGATTAGATGTGGTACAGATTCGGTGCATTTAAAATATCAACCCCAAACCTCAAAACAATGGATTATGAACCAACATACTGTACCTCATTAAAAAAGAAGCAAAATCAAAGCAGTCAAGTGAAATAAAAAGCATTATTGATGTTTAGTGTGCTTACTGGTGTGAGAGCGTGGTACGATGGTGAGTCTGAGTGTGTTTCCAGCTCTGCGTAGGATCTGTGCAAGGTCTCTGTGAGGCAGCGTGACCACCGATCTGCCCTCCACAGCCTCTAGCTGATCTCCTGGCTGAATCTGACCACTGCGCGCCGCTGGGCTCCCCCGACGCACCGTCACAAACCTATGAGACACTAGAGACGAGGCTAAACACACAAAACAGACACAGAAAGAAAGAGATTGTCAGTTTGCCATTCATGCAAACAAAACTAGGGGCTAGATTTACTAAAACTGACAAATTAGCATGAGACTGTTGCCCTATTTTCTTTGGGTGTCTAGAAATTTTGTTTTATAAGTTAATATCAATAAGTGAATCAGCACTGAATCAACTGTTGATTACACAGCTGATCTGAAAGGAGCACAGTCATCAATGGATCCCTATTATTTTCATTTCAAATGTAAAATAGAAAACACAAACAGTGAAGCTTCAGAATTGACATTATAATTGTGCAACTCAAAGTCCATGCTGGACACTTCAACTTTTTAGACCTGTTTTGAGTGGAAACATTTCTTTAAAGGTGCCACAGAATGAAAATCTGGAAATATCTTGGTATAGCTGAGTATTAACGCCAACCTGATTTCACCAAGTAGGACATGTTCATAGACTAACATCTATGATCAGAATTAAGCGATATGTTTACCGTTTATGTTAAGTATAGGCTTATGGTTAAGTTTATGAAATTCTACATGATTGTTATCCAACTATTATTCCCCTCTGATTTTGAGAATACTTTAAAGTTAAGGGGGCAGGGAATAGATATAGATTAGATGGTAATCCAGAATCACATCATCATGATTGCAAAATTAAAAAAAAAAAAAGCACATGCTTTAAAAGAGAGTAAAAGATCTCATATCTTCAGAACTCATCTGAACACAAAATGCAGGATATACAGATTATAAATGTATTCAATGCCACTCTGAAAAGGCAAAAGTCTGTTTAGATGTATCTTTTATTAGTTTAATGCGAATATTCAGACAAATTACAGCTGATACTAATAATGAGGAACTGACAAATGTAAACCTGACACTTAAAACTTCACCTGACTATAAATTTAGAATAAAAACACATTTAAACTGTTCTTCACGTAAAGACATGAAGGTTTTTAAAATGCCCATTTACATTAAAGACAATAACTATAATGATAACAATATAATTAAAAAAATCTGTTTAAATGTAAACATATCAGCTTCCACATACAACAACTATAATGATACAGACATAGAAGAATGATTTCGCTGGCATCGCTTTCTATTTTCTCTCATTATTCCATAGTATTTTTTTCCAACAATAAAAATTAAGGTTGCCTGTTATCAACACACCCACACACACACACAAAAAGAAACTCAAAGGGTTGGAACATACTGTACTGTAAAATAGCAAGGTTCCACACAATTCCTTCATTTTGTCCCAACACAAATCGAATAAATGAACCCAATAATTTTTTACAAATTTAAATAAACTTTCGAATTCTGTTGTTTCAGCTAAGGTAATTTTTTAAGTGCAACATGAAAGTAAGAAAATGAGTAAATGAATCATTCTAGGCAAATTGTGTGTTTGAGGATTTATGTTGACATGTTCTCTATCACAAACAAGCTTTTTTCCACGCACTTTTTTACATTACATTTCACAAAATTGAGAGTTTGTTAATTAGAAAGGACAAACTGGCCATAAATCACTAGAATAAACTGTTCGCGTTTTTAGTTACAACGTGGAGCAGTCTTATCATAGAAGTCCAATGCATTAATCACGGTTATTGTACACCGGTGTTTGCTTAATTATTGCTTTCTCCTTCACTGTGTCCCAAGTTTCACTGCTGTTCTCCTTTTGATGGCTCTGCATTCACTCAGTGTAGCCTATTGTATGATGTGTTTTGTTCCACTCCAATCTCGTCTGTCCACATTATTCAGCCTCTTTACTCTCGGCCAAACAAGAGGTTAGTTGCCAAGATTGTAATCTCAAAGTCCTGTGTACAATTACCCTGAGCACTCGCCATCATGTTACACAGAGACAGTTGACTGAAGAAACAAGAGCTAGACATAAAACATCAGACAGCTGAATGAAACACTGCTCTGTTCCAGTTAACAATCTGCTCTATGTTCATCTTTGTTGGAAGATGCTTCAGCTAATGTGTGTGAATAAAAACACACACACAAACACACTATTCAGACTGAGGTACCTGTTTTCAGAAAAAAAGAAAGTAATCCTTATCCCAGCACCCAAGCAAAATGAAATAGGGGAGAAACTAAAGGGACATGTTTAATAACGGGAAAAATATGTAAGTACTGCAAAATGATAGTCGTTGCCTTAAATTATTAAGCCATTTTAACTTGCATAACATTAAATTGACTTTGAAACTGAGGTTGAACATAACTTAAAGAGCCCCTATGTGTTTTTGAAAATGACCTTCCATGCAATAAAAACATCCAGCTGAGGTATAATCCAAAAGTGCACTGTTTAAAACTATTGTTTCTTTAACGAAATATTTGACTCAAAGCAGAATAAATTAATTGAGCTGTTTCGGATCTTTTGCTTGAACATGTCGACGCCAAAACGGTACATCACCGAATATGTAGTTCCAGATCCGATTAAATGTGAAGGCGCTTTCCTTTCAGACTCTAGCGGAGCACTGAGGATCACAGGACTGATCATAGCAAGAAATTGATGATCACTGACAAATGAAGATTCGGCTGCAGGGAATAAAGGGTTAAAGTTCATTTTCACAACAATACCACAGTATATCCAACCTAGTGCTGTGTTTGTTCCTGTCATTTTTCTGATTTTTGATTCAATAACCTATGCTGCAGTGCGGGACTCGTCGGCTGTTTGCTTTTAGAGGATGGAGCAGCAGAGACTATTATGTACAGACTTTTTCATAGCCATGGTGGCCATTCTTCTGTCTCGTGCTGAATGCAGTCGACCAATCACAACAGTCTGGGTCATCGGTCCAATCAGAGCAGATTAGCTTCATGCTAAGGAGGGGTTTGGGAACAAATTTATTGCTGAAGGAATCATATAGACATAGTTTGGGATAATTAGGTAAAAATAAATGCATATTATAAGACAATGAAAGTGTTTTTTGACCTTGCACGCATATCAACTTGTTGTTTGAGACCCCAAAATTAAATTATGACCTTTTATAATGCAAAATTGGAGCTATTTAAATTAAATACTTTACATGTAATATTTTTGGTGTAATAATTGAAATAATTTTTAATAAGTTTAAATAACAAAAACATTTGTTGTTATGAATTAATGATAATATTTCTGTATTAGGCCTTAGTATAGTGCTGAACTGAACTGGCACTGAGCAATATTGGCTGGCAAATCGACTTGTTTGTATTGATCGTGCACTCATGTAGGGAAACAGCCAACAGCGCTGAACACATAAAAACAAAAACAGCCCTGAAACACTTTCTGTTAGCCCTTTAAATGCTCACTGACCTAATCTATGTCAAAGATGGCAGCTTACAGCACCTTTTTAAGAATACAGGCTTCAAGCACTGTGTACAGTGTACACATTTTGCACTTCAAAATATGTGAACTGGGATTTTGCGCGTTTTAACCTCCTGCTTTGCTGAGGGAAATCCGGAACCACACACGTGTACAAAGCTCTGACTGTAATATTAATAGAAAATGAAAGACCAAAGCAAAGGAAACTGGGTTACACTGACACAATGGGCAGCAGATCCGAATAAACAACAAACATGTCATAAAAGAACAAATATACATGATTCGAATTCACACGCCACCACAACTTTCATATTTCAGTGAAAACTGGTCCCCTTTGATAGGATAGTAAAAATAATTAAGACTTTTCTTTAAAAATGCAAAGATAAAAAAAAAATGTGTTAAACTGAAAAGTTTTACAGAACGATCATTTCAAAGAAATAACTTAATGGGGATTAGAGCAAAAAAGGGACAGAAAATATCATTAAAGTACAGTAAAAAAAAGAATAGTAGTCCCTATGGCTCATGTGCTACTTTTATACTAAAACATGCAGCGATTTTAAGAGATAGCAACTTAATTGTTAGTTTTCTCATACAAAGCTTTTAAATACAGTGCATGAAGCATATGCATCACTTTTAAGATTTTTTTTTTTGGTCTTTTTAAAACACTGGATGAACTGTTCAATAAAGAAAAAACCTAATATTTTAGATGTAGGCAACTAAAATACTTCAAAAATGACATCGAACACCATAAAACATAATTTCAAAAAGTATCAATTGTTCATTTGGCTCACATGCTTTGTTGTGTACTAAAACCCATCAATATTAAAGTTATCAAAGCAATTAAGTGAAAAACTAATGTTTATTCTTTTTCTCAAAAGAGGATACAGCATCACATGGCTTTGGATGGAGCTGTAATAAATTAAATACAATTTTATTTGCGCATTTAGGATAATTTTTGCTTCTTTTCATGAATACAGAATAGATCACAAAATTCTCCAAAAAACTTAGTTAGCCTATGTGTTATCTATAAGCTGGCATGCTTTAAAACAATGACAAAAGTCACATTAAGAAGATAAATGCATTCAATACGTACAGTCTCTGTCACAAACATGGGTCTATAAATTGGATGACATCACTCTGCACTTCAGCTTTTCATTCAATTTTTAGTCCAATCAAATGCTCTGTAAAATCTGAAGCATCTCTCCGCCTACTGAAACACTTTTTAAAGCAAAGACGCATTTGGTCTCTAATAAATTGTATAATAATAAATATAATAATAATAAATTCAGCCCTAATGGAATATTTACACCGACATATACATCTTTGCTTCAAAAAAAAAAAAAGCTTGATGCAGCACTCAGGAATGGGTTTTAAAAAGCACAGCGTAGTGCAAGGTCCAGGTGATGTAATACCGACAATGACAAACCCATTAGAAATAGGAAAAAAAATGAATTATGCACTTAGACATACAAAATAAAACTACTGGATAAAGCCACTATGAGTGCCTCGTCTGCCATGATAAAACAGCAAAATAAACAGTTGTTAAATTTCTACTATAAACAGAAGTTTGCGGTTACCCCGCCTCTGAGTTCTCCTGATTGGTCCACTTCTTTTAAACCAGTCATTGATGAGCTGCACTGAGTGTGAAAGTTAAAAAATTTTCAGCTTGACACAGCATCTTAAAAATGTGGCCCT